TATATAAATTTTACAATTTATATTATTTTGAACGAAGCCTTTAATTTGACATATGTTTATATAACATATTTTTCTTATTTTTAAAATATGTAGTATATCCTTACAACGTTTGTGCAAAAATACATTTGACACCTCGTACATTAAAAATATGAATCGAATTGGCATGAATTTTCTAGGTAACCTAATATTAGACACACACACACACACACATTAACACAAACGTATATACAAATCTATCTTTTAATTGCAGTTTGTTAGGGGCAATGTTTCCATTGCCAAGAATAATTTACGCAATGGCGTCCGACGGTTTGATATTCAAATGGATGGGAAAAGTAAGTTCAAGATTTCATACACCAATTATGGGCACTTTTTCAGCAGGTATTCTTACAGGTACGAAAATAATATTTTGTTTTTTTTTTTAAATATTAAATTAAAAAAAATAAGTTAAAAAATATATATATTCTATTTTTTTTTATCGTTATTTGTAAACTATATAAAAATGATTCTGTCTTAGGAGTTTTAGCAGCAATATTTGAGCTTACTCAATTGTTAAATATGATGAGTATAGGAACACTACTTGCTTATTCAATAGTTGCCGCTTGTGTTCTTATATTACGGTAAGATAATATAAATATATATTGTCCATTTAAAAATTTATTTTACAATTTATATCGTAAAATTTTGTCCCTTAAATTAAATTCATCCTCTTGCCTTGCAAAAAGTTGAATTTAAATTACAAAAATTAAATAATACAATTAATTGTAATATCAAATAAATCATAAAATGAAGATTTGTTCGTTTTGTTATAATTCACATTCTAATAATTTCTCATAATTACTGATATATGTACGTTATAAATTTCAAAGTAGAAAACATAATAAAATGTTTTAAAAATAAGTAATATTATAAATTTGAAAGATACATTTATATTTTCAGATACGAAGAAAGTGAGGCGTATGAGAAAAAAGGTGATCGTGATCCAAGGACTGTGAAGTTTATCGTTAAGCAGCTAATTAATGCAAATAGATTAGATCATTCTACAAAATTAACTGGACAACTAGTCACTTGTCTCGTTTTTTGTTACTGTAATACTTGATTCCCATCAATGTGAGTATATTTCTCTTAAATGATAATAGTGTAACAATGTGATTCTGATTACAGTTATACTTTGCATTTGCATTACGGCAATGATATCAAAATGTTCCCAAGAAATTGTCACTGGTAAAGCACTTTACGTTGTACCAATAGTCATACTAATAGTTGCGTTAATATCAACACTAATCTTTATTTATCGTCAACCATCGTCAGACAAAAAACTTGCCTTTTCGGTAAGTTAATCATTTTTATATAACATTTGTCTTTAAATTTTGTTATTAAAAAACAATTCAACAATATTTTATTATTTATTTTTAGGTACCTCTTGTCCCTTTTTTACCAGCAATCAGTATACTTATTAATATTTATCTTATGATGATGTTAGATATAATGACTTGGGTACGATTTTTAATATGGATGACTATTGGTAAGTATAATGACCATTAATTTATAAACCTAAATATACACACTTACCGATCGAAATTATTTGATCAGTTTAATTCGTTTAAATTAGTGCGGCGTTCAATTTTTCTTCGTTAATATTTCTATTGGAAGGCAATTTTTTCAAAAAATACATAATTATATTTATTTGTTATTCGTAAAAAAAAAACACTTCATTTGTGCAAAACGTATTTTTCCAATATATTGAATTAAATAACTTAGTTTATTAGTTAGGGTAGTGGGTCCCAAAGTTTTTCAATTTTCAGTTTTCTGGTTGAATGCAAATCTTCCAAAGGCGTCCTACGTCAAATTCTAACAAATGCACTTTGCAAAATAGTCAATTATTTTTTGTAAGAGCTAGATAAAAATATATAATACATATTTTATATCATTAAAAGTGTAATTATGCAAATTCAGTTAATTATGATAATTAATTAGATGAATAAGCCTGTTGGTTGCCGCACATTTTCTTAAATAATCGGACTGAACACAGCCATTCTCATTTCCTTCTTCACATTGTTTTTCACGCGATACATAGATTTTATCATAGCAACTGCTGAAAAGCCAGCTTTGTACAAATAAGAAATTACAAATGGAATTAAAGTTATAAAAACAGTGTAATATTTCACAACACACCTGTGAGGAAGTCTCTACGGTACATACTTTGAGAACCACTGGTACAGAAATTTAATTTTTTAATCTGATTGTGAATGTGCTATCTATCAACGTGTATGACACATTCAAAAAATGATTTAACTTTTGATCCACAGGACGAATTTGTTCACGTGGGTAGACCAGAAATGATTAATAAAAGAATATGCCTGAAAAAGAACATTGTTTGAAAAAATTACGACTCAAATTTTCTTTCGTCCAAATGAATCTTTTCTCAACGCGATTTCAGTATTAAGTATTTCTTTCTGGACCATAATTGAAAGACAACTAATGCATTCTAAACGAAGCATTTCGGAGAATGAGAATTCTGTTACATGCTTGCTTTTAAATCTACTTTTAAGTGGTTTAAAAACAAAATTTAGCAGGACATGATTCTTGAAAAATATTGTATCACGCACTATAATTCAAAACCTTTCAGAATAAATGAATGAAATATTAGGTCATTTGTTATAAAATGTCCGATTTCGAACTAAATTAATCGGAGTGATCGGACGTTTCATTGACCTAATAAATTGCCAGTCGTATATCTTCATGATAATATTGGAAAAATAAATTGGTTTCACTCGAAATTTTATGAAAAAAAGGGATAAAACTTACAAAATGCTTATAAAATATTTTAATCCTAGTTTCATTGAAAAAGCTATTTCTCGCTTTCAGTACTGTCTTGCGTATTCTTTGAACCCTAAGTAATACGAATTATATTAGGTCATTAAGCATGAAATGCCTGATTTCGAACTAAAAGTATGCGGAGTAATGAGACGTTTCATACTTAATGACAATATCCTAATTCAGTGGTTCCCAAAGTTTGCACTGAAACGCCCAAAGGATGCACCGCGACGCTCGTTTTTCAATTCGATTTGATAAAATGCGAAATTAAGCGAATTTGGTGCAAACCAGTAACTAACTTAATATTTGTTTCATGAAATCTCAACGAATAAAACGTGTTTTATATATTTTTAGCCAATCCTTTAATAAAAAGAACTTTTAAGTTTTCTGCAAGATGAATTTTATAGATTTTAACGCAAGGCGTCTTGAGAAAACTTGAACTTAACAAATAACGCCGAAGATAAAAAACGTTTGAGAAACACTGTTCTAACTTATAAACTGAATTATAAACGCGATCAAAAAAATATTCAATTCGATATATTGAAAATACATTTTGCACAAATGATGAATGAAACAATCAGATTGAACGTAATTATGAATTTATTGAACAATTTTTTTTCCGTATAAATACTAACTAAAATTAGATGCTGCACTAAGTTAAACCTCTATCATTTTATAAGATGGTTAAATAATTAGGACTGGTAGTGTATATAATATCTTTTTATACAGGTCTTGCAATATACTTTTTGTACGGAATGTGGAACAGTAGCAATAGAGATAGAAAATCTAAACAAGAGAATAATAATATCAATGAAATAGAACGAAAAAATAGTAATTGTAATCGAATTACGTGATTTTATTAGTGAATATAATACTTTTCGACGACTTTTTTTGTATTACGAGATGCTTGCAAAAATTCGTCACATTTTTGAATATATTTATTTAATTATATATACAGCAGTTAATACATTATAGACATATTTATTATCATAAAAATATCTGCCGTCACTTTCTACAACATACTGCCATCATTTTCAGATAATTTTTTAATCCTAATACTAAAAAACAATACATCTTTTGAAATAACAAAATTGTTGACTGATTTTTTAACTTTCTCGTTATTTAATAAATCGTCTATCATATAAACATTGTTGCATTGATTTAAATAAATGAATTATTTAATGCAATAATGTCTGCTGAGTCAGCTGAATGTGAACAAATTATATAATATTTTTTTCTAATCGTAACAAAAATACGGAATCTAGAATTATTGTAAATACCCATTGATCAGTTGACGAGGGGAATTTATTTAGTTTTTATTTAAATATTTCCGATTGACTGTAACCATGAAGAAACGGTTTATGCATTAACACGTTGACGTACACATCTTTTACTAAATTTATCAAAAACACATTCTTTTTTTTTCTAATCTTCCTTCATTGGTACAAAAAATTAAATAAAAAAAAAATAATATACTTATAATAATATATATTAATAATATATAAATTACAAAAAAATAGTAGATCTATTTGTTTTATACGAAACAATTATCATATTGTTTGCTTTTTAATTAAAATATAAATGACGGTTATGTCAACAACTTTTTGAATTTAAAATTTATTTGCAAACCCTTTCAATATTTTGTACAGATTTTATTATTAATTTTTTGTAATTCCTTATTCTCGAATTTGTTCAGTTTCCTTGAATTCGGTTTGTCATTGTCTCAATTTTGTTATTTCTAAATCTTTTAAGCCATTACATGTGATAATCATTAAAGGATACAATTTATTTTATAGATTTTACAGATAATCCGTATTGTTTCAACGACCACCTTTTTTCTTTCTTTTTTTTTTTTAGAAAAAAGAATGAAAAGAAATTAAAGTGGCTTACATAGCTGGATACATTTTATCAACGTTCCATTTCGATAAAAATGAGATTATCTTGTACTTAAGATATCACAGATAAATTTTTCAATCATGAGTAATATCCTACTTACAATTAGTTTTATAAAATTTGATAAAATAAAAAAAAAAAAAAAAACAAATTATCAATGCAATCATATTTAATTCGACGAACTTTTGCAAACATCTAATAGATGAATGTATACAGAATGATAAAAAGAAAGGGTACAATATTGTAAGGGCTTATAATACGTATCAACATGAATAAAAAATGTCTAATTAACATAAATCCTAAAATTAATTCTTTCAAAATAAATTAATTTTTGTTATTTATATCGTAAGCAAATCTCTAGGTAACCTACAGTCAGTTACAAAAATATTTTTTTTAAATATAAGTTTTAACAAACTGAAGTCACTTCTAACCTTCTGCACGCAACACTTTTCGAATGTTTTTCGGATAATACAGTGATAACATGTTCTTCCTATACCATTATACGAGCGTATCAAAAATAGGGTGACAAAAAAAGTCAACCCAATGTGATTTTAGGACTAATATTGAATCAGCATTTTTTACTCGTTTCGGTGAATACTTCAAATATCGAACCTTTTTTTTTATCATTCTGTATATATATATATGTCTAATTATTATTTTAAATTTGTACAATTGTTAAAAAAAATAAATATAATTAGAAAAAACTATTTTATTAATCCCACTTATTGCCAACAATAATTTGTCTTACGTAAAAAGTTTGTATTTCATCGGTAGTAAATTCTTCATTGTTTTCTTTATCGTTACAATTTGATATCAACAAACTGCAATTAAATGGACCTTATAATTTCGAAGCTAATTTTTTGATATACAATGCCTCATTTGTTTCAACATACGAATTAAGATACGGGCATACAATTCAAGTACCTTTTCTATTTTATGGTTGGAATTGGAAAACAGAGAATATGGGGTAAAGGAAAACGCGAATAAACTAAATTACACAATTATTAAATAGATCATTTACGCCAGAAAATGTTAAGATGGATTTAATAATGATGCAATAGGTAACTTGTTATCATCCAATGCGTTACTTTTGGCACATGCGCCACACGTTGATCACCCCTGGACTATATGAATTGATCCGCACCTTTTGAGAAACTTACTGGACGAGTGAAAAGAGTCTATCATTATCCCAGTGTTTAAAATGAAAGATAGGACAATGTGCAGAAACTATAAAACAACCATAACTCAATTTGCAGTCCGCGCGGTTCGCATATTACTCGGAAAACCCTTAAATAAATGCGAAACTACATACCTAGTCGTATTTTAATTTCATTTTTTATCGATAAAACGATTAACACGACGATTTTCGACGTCGTTTGTATGTGTATGTGATAATGTGTATAATGAGATAAGTTGAACGATAATTATTATTTATATTAATTTAAATTGTTTATTCAGCTTTTATCTAATAAATTTTTAAAAGTAAGGTAGGTATCTATATAGACATCTACGTAGATTTCATCCACGATTTTGTACATTAATGCACAACCATACTTGGAATGACCTTACTCTTTATCTAATACTTTATATAATTACAAATGAATATAATATATAAGGTTATAAATAAATAATTCTATAAAAATAATACATTTTTTAACATTAAAATGTTTACCAATCAAAATTTTTTTTTAGTAACAATTTTTTTTCTAAACACATTTTACTTTTGTTTTAACCATCTTAATACCTTTTAATATACATATAATATTACTAATATATTAATAATATATTAGTCACATAATGATATCCAAATTACCTTTGATCTTGTATCTGCTATTCTCTTTAAAAAAAAAAGAATATTATATGCACGTAATCAGCGACCTTATTAACCTCCATATATTAATTTGAAAAATATTGAATCAATTTTTTAATTAAAATATCCGTCATTTTATTTTTCAAAAAAATAATATCAGATTCTTATCAGTGACACTAAAAATCTTTAAGTACTGATCTTAGAAAGGATTCTATTACTTTTTAATGAAACAGTCCGCCATCTTGTTTTTCCAAAAAATAATATCAGATTAGTAATCAGAGTTTTCAAAAACTCCAATAAAATAATGTTCAAAAAATAATATAAATTCATAATCAACGATCCCTAAACCATTAACTACAAATTTTGAAAAAAATAAACTTTCGAAAAAATCTAAAAAAAAATAACTTTTCGGGATTTGGGATCACTGTTTAACGCGTTAGCCACGGCCTTTTTTCTAATAACCAAAATTAACTGGCCCCCTCAAGATCAATCTCTCTTATAAACGCAATATTTAAATATACCTATTGTTTACAAATCTGATGACTTTTTTTTATAATCATTATTTTTTACAAATCGTTATAAAAATATAAAATTTTGTAATAAAATAATAACGTAAAATTTTAAATTAGATAATAACGAAATCAAGCTTTTTCTAACTTTTAAATAATAATTAATCTAAAATGATCACCATTTGAAATAATATCAAATAATTAGAAGGGGCCCTTTACTTCTTCTTTGCCCTGGGGCTTTCATATTTTTAAATTTGACCTGGAAAGAGCGAAAAAAGTAGGAAACAAAAACGAGATATATGTGTGGTGTATATATTGATATATAAAATGTATATATATAGTATATAAAAATATTTTATTTTACTTAGAAATGAATAATGTACATTTTGTGCGTTTTTACCGCATTTGTCGCAAATTACAGGATTTTTAAAAATCACCACATTCTCACAAATTGTAGGATGTAGTCGTTTAACCATGTGCGTGGTAGATTTAGTATTAATTAATCATAGTAATAAACGTAGCATTTAGGAGAAAGTAGAAGAATTTAAGTATCTTGATTCAATTAACAATACTAATGACGCAAAGCAATACATTAGAAAAGACTATATTCCGGGAATACATGTTTTCACTCGTTAAACAATCTGCTAAAATCTGAGAAACTTATCGCATAAAACTAAAATTAGAATGTATTGTATGATAATACAGGTAGTATTTTATGGATGCGAAACATGGGCCATAACAAGAAATGAAGAAAATAACAAAAAAAAGGATTTAATGAAGATGATTTAAGATTTTGATAAACAAAGTCCTTAGAAAAAAATTTAGAATCAAAATTGATAAGCAGACTGACGAGTACAAGAAACTACATAATCAAAAAATTGAGGAACTTTATAAAGCACAGAACATTGTAGGAATAATGAAATCCCATAAATTAAGATGGGCACGAAACTTTTAGCCAGAATGGAAAAAAAATAATAAAATATTAACAAATCATATAGTACTAATAAAGATATATATATATATATATAATAGTTAAAGAACATTTCATACCATATAACTACAAACAAATGTAAAATCCTTAAAAAAAAAAAAAAAGTAATAAAAATAACAATCTATTCTTTTTATAATATAATATATTATGTTGCAGGAAAGTGGGAAATACAAACAAAAATTCGATCAATAATTATGATCAAGATGAAATATAAATGAAACAAGAACAAAATAAAAAAAAAGACGTAATTCTAATGACAGTTTGCCAATTATTATAAATTTTTTGTAAATTTAAACATTATTAGAATGTGTACATATCTGTATAAAAAAAAGAAATATGCCATAATCTATAAACAACTTGCAATGAATGTTTTCAAAAAGTTATAAAAATGGAAACAAGAACTCGCGTTGACTAATTAATTTGATACAAAATATAGAAAAAATTTGCAAACTAAAGCAATTAACTTCACATATAGAATTGTTTTAAAGTCCAGTCTCAAAGCATTTACCCGATGCTTAAATTTTAATATTTAAAGTTATTATCCTAAATAATGAATCCAATATTATTAAACAAAAAAATTTCGTATTGTCATACAATAAATGATATGAAAATGTATGCAACTTAATCAATTTGTTCTTTTTTGTGTTTTATAGTGTTAATCGATTTACCAAATAAATGATTCATTTGTGGTTTTATATGAAAAATATGTCCACAACTAAAATTCTTGATCATCTGACAAAACATCATCTTTTCGAGGAACATTTTTATGATAACTGTACTTCAGGTTTATTTTCTTAATAGATGATTGTTGTTTACTATTGTTACTATGTTTATCATACTGCAATACTTTCTTATTGTTTTTGTTCACTTTACACTGATTACTTAACTGTAAGTCGCATTTACATAAACGTATTTCAGCTCTTTTTAACGTTAGTAATGACTGTAAGGAAATAATGTCACGCATTTAGAATAGAAAAAATAACATAAACAATATTTTAGATTTTATTATGGAAAAAAAATTTTTTGTTAAAAATACAAGATGGTAAAAAAGAGTCCAATATTTTAAGGGCTTGTAGTATTCACCGAAACGAATGAAACATGACTAATTAATATGGGTCCTTAAATCAACCCTTTTGTTGTAAATTAACTTTTATTATTTATAAGCGTTTTAAACCATAAGGGAATCTCTTGATAATATATTGAGTCTACGCAGAGAAATTTGCTTAAAAATACACTAGTTCAAGGAATATTTGAAAGTATATGTTAATTTATAATCTGTAGATGTTAAAATTGCATTACAAATGGAAGGAACGCGTATCAAATATCAATGATTTGTACAATGTTTGCATTTACAAAATAACTAAGATATTTCTAAGCAAATTCCAAGTATACATTCAATATATTGTCAAGAGACCTGCTTACGATATAAACAATACAATTTTATTCGCACCGGAAGGGTTGATTTTAAAACTCATTATAATTAAACATTTTTTATTCTTTTTGAAGAGTATTATAAGACTTTAACATAATTGACCCTTTTTTTACTATCTTGTATAATTTTATTTAGACATTATTTAAATACCTCGAAATTTTCATCTTTAGATGCATCACTTGCCTTTCTCTCTTTTGAGATTTTGGAAGATTCTAGATCGTTAGGTGATTCATACATTTTTTCTTTTTTTTCCTTGAAAATATATAAATTATTAAGTATGCAACTGTTAGAAAGGATTTAACCAATGACAGTAGAAATACTTCATAGTATAAACTGTTATGTATGTGTGGTGTTTAAATATTTATAAATTTAATTATAAAATATCTTACCATCATTTCTGGTGTAGTATTAACATCTTTAAAACGCTTTGAAATGTTTCCTGCTGTGTAGACTGTTTCTTTATTTTTAGAAACGACACGTTCTCCTATTAATGTTACAACATAATTGAATTTATTAAATATATATATTATTAAAATATATATTATAATATATATTAAAATATATATTATTAAAATAGCAGTCAAATGGCCCAGTCACGTTGGAGTACTAAGTGTTAAAATAGCATAATAATAAAATACTTGTTTACCAGTCCAATAATTTAATGGTGGGAATATCTTGCGTCCTCTTGAACTTGTAGCGACATCAAATTTATTTGTAATTTTAGTTTGCTGTCTTGTTACTATTTTATTTGTAGCACCTAAAAAAAAGTTATATATATCATGAACTGATTATTTATTATAAATCATAAAATGAAAAAAGAAAATCATTTATTTATATGTTATTAGTAACAAAATATTTTAATACCTTCTTCATACGATTTCCACATTTTGCAAAACTTATTTATATTTAATGGACATCCATGGAGACAATACTTCATTAATTTTGTTGGTACAACTAAACATAATATAAATTTGTAACATTATATGTAAAAGCATAAGTACAATCATAACTTTAAATGTCTTCAATATTACCGTGTTTAGAATTATGCAAATTTCCAATAAGTTGATAAATATCTCCATTTATATCTTTGATTAAAGTTGCCGATAATCGTTCATGAATAGGATTAGTTATGAACTTTCTATTAATTACATGGCCAGCATCGCTATATAAATGAAAATAACATATAAGTCATGTATCAATTAATAAGATGAAATGCCTCAAAATCCTTACATACTTAAGCAATTGTCCTTCAAAAACCAAGCTGAACCCATTAGTTAAAGTAGAATCAAATATAACTTGTGGTATCCAATCAGATAATAATTTAGGTTTTGTTAATTCCGATGAAGATAGACCTTTATTGGATTCAGTTTGAATATCATTACCTCTTGGAGTTTGACAATTTTTCTTTGTATTATATTCATTATCATAAATTTCATCATCACTTCCAACTTCTTCGTCAGATATTGATTGATGCTCATTTTCATATTCAATATTTTTTGTATCATATAAAACAGGTGTAAACTCTAGTTTATCATTGGTTGTATTTTCATTTGCATTCGTATCATAGTAATTTTCCAAAATAGGACTTTTTGCAATGTCCAAATGGTCTGATGTAATGTTCTGCTTTTTTTTCAACGACATTATTTGATTATCGTTACTATTAGTATTATTCTTACTAGCTTTTTTGATTGTATCAGGCTGATTCGTATCAACAAATCTTTTTATTATTTCTGTTATTTCTACGTCGTGTTTTATCACCTCTGTTTTATTCCAATGTTTCTCCCGTTTTGATTCCTCTGTGATAGAATTAGAATTATTAGAAAAACAATTACTTTTTTTTTTATGGGATCCTTTAATACAATACTTCATATTACTCCCATTTCTCTCGTCTGTATCTGTAGATTCTGAGAGATCTACGGAATCATGACATTCTATATTACTTTCAATATTATTAAAACCCAAATCAAAATGCTGTATTTCTCTGTCGTTTTTCATTGATTTTCGGAATTTTCTAGAATTTCGGGTAGTAGGATTACAAAATGATTTTCTTCTTCTGTAACGACGTTTATACCGTTCTAATAATACTTCCTTATCTGACAATATCTTGTCAGATATGATCCTAGGTTTACACGCATAAGCATTACTTTCTAATGTTTCAGCATTTTCTTCATCTGATTGTTGTAAAATCATATCATTTGTTTTCTCTGACTCGCTGCTAACATGTCGTTTTTCTCTTACAGCTATCTTTGAATTTCTATGCGATTCTTCTACATTGTTTTTAGTGGAATCAGTTAATTCTGTTAATGGCGGCACATCGTAAATTCTTTCAAAGTTATTTATCACTTCGTTATTTTGTACTTCGGTGTTATTTGCAACATTGCATTCTAGTCTAGACGACAAAATATTTTTATCAAAATCGAAAATTTCTATTATTTTAGAAATGTATTGTTTAGGCACATCTTTGTTTAGTAGATTAATAATAACTGCATTCTGTTTTTCTTTGAAATTGTTCACTTTCTTTTCTTTTGGAAGATGAGGTGATTGATTATCATTTATATTTTTATATTTTTGTAGATTTTCCTTATCTAAACTATTATTATTATTATATACATTTTGTCCTATATTAGAAAAAGGTAAATCTGTCGAATTTGGCAGATAAGTTTTATTATGTATAGTATTATCGTTCTTAACTTTTAGAATTTGCCCATTGCATTTTTGACCACAGAAAGTACAAGAATGTACTTTGAATTTAAAGGCATTATGTGTTTGTCCTTTTTTCATATATTCAAATGTAGGCCAATGAAAATTGGAGATGGAACCTTGCGTAACAAATAATTTCCAAATATCTATTACATTTTCCCAATCCTCGGGAAAACCATTAAAGAATTTGAATCGAATATAATTCGGTAATTCTAAAAAAAAACAATGCATCTATTAAAATCAAATTATCATTTTAGCCAAAAATGTCTAAAAAATGTTCATATCTTACCGTCCCAATAATCTACAAGATTTCCATTGAGATGATATGTGTTTTTAAAAATCGATTCCACGTTTGTGGCAGTCAATCTTTTACTTATAGGCTGACTACATATAAAGTTTCCGCTATGTAAAATAAATATAAAAAAGAAAAATGAAAAAGAAATGATAAGTTATTTTAAAGTAATTTAATTTTTTCAACTTACCAATCTGAAGTTCCGACAATGATCAAGTGATCCTTTTTATCTAACATAACTCTCCAATTAAAAAAAAGTACAATTCGTCTTTCTTCAGAACTTTTAATAATTTCCGTTTGATTACAACTATAGATATTTTTATGGTTGCTTTCATTTCTTACATTTTTACCTCGCAATTTAACAAAATTGACATTTCTAATAACTTCCATTGGTATTAAAGACAAATCTTGGTCCACTACAGAGTAATTAATTTCATTTAACTGAAATAACAACAAAAAAAGGGTTAATTATAAATTTATGGTAATCGAAGCAATCTTTTGTTCCTGGAGATTTTTGAATATTTGCAATCGCAATTGTTGCTTCGTCTATAATATTTCAATGTCAGTATATTTCACAAATTTTAGTTTACACATTAAGCACCAGTATCTTTTGTTGAACTTTCTGTTTAGACTACAATAATCTACCAGATGTAGAAAGATATAAGAATGTTGGCCATTAATGACTGACACAGCATAGATAGTAAGCCTAAAATCAGTCCTTTAGGACTGGCACAGTGTTTAACATGTTTAAAGCAACAATTTTATTTTTTATCTAAGAAGTTACAGATAAAGCGTTGCAACTTACGTTTTGTATATCTAGGTCTTGTGGTATTTGGTTATCTTTTATTAATTTTTCCATTCTCTTCTGTTGATAATGTATCAAAAACGCAGCAAATTTCAAGCACGTTGGTCTTTTTAAAAGTAATAATTAAACATCTCCTGCACAGCGAAGAACATATATCTTAATGCATATATATATATATATATATATAGATATAGAAATGTATTAAAATTCAGTAAATATATATAAATAAACATATTTTAATAATAATATATATAAGACAAAAATTACATAGATATAAATAAATATCAATAATTAATTCGTTAATAATTAAAACATACCTTGATTGCGTGCTAAATCGAAATCCGTGTCTTTATCATTAAAATCATTTGAAGTTTTCCAAAACATTAGATAGTCGATATAATAACTATATATATATATATATATATATATTGTTGTTTACAAACATGAGTTTCCCGCTTTATCTGTAGAAAAAAAAGCACCTGTTTATATATAGGGAAAATAAATGCCCGGTAATTTTAATAACACATCTTTAAATAAAATAATTTCTCAATTAATTACTATAATATATAATGTTTGCGTGAAATTTCTATTTTTAATATATTTGATTTAACTAAGAAAAAAAAATACAATAGTTATCCACACTAATGATACCTAACCTTTATAGCATAGATGCGGTTTTGATAGCAACCGCCGCGACATCTGACGGTAAATTTTTAAATACCGGTATTATTGATTTACTTATTTGTTACATTATATTGTTAGAAATGTTGTTAAAAATTTAGAAGAATTAATTTTCCGGAAAAATTAGACAAATTTATTCAATATAATGTTGAAAACTAAACACATTTTACATATTTTTGGAAAGAAATTAATGTATATATTTCAAAATTTTAATAATATTCTTTTTTTTTTTTTTATTTTAATATGGAAATATACAACAATTCTCAGCGATAATTATAAATAATTTTTAACATAAATTTTAACAATATAACATAAATATTTGAACAGTACGTAAAAAGTAATCCCATTGATCAATAATAGTCCAATTCTAATTCTTTTTTTGCAAATACTAAGCGTGCTTTTACATTTTTTTTTGGATAGCGTAGATTTTTTTCTTTTTTTTTATACGCGCGTAATACACATACGTAATTTTGACCCGTCTATTCTTTCATGGCTGTCCACTAAACATTTCCGTTGCATATTTAATATATTTAATGTATTGACTAAAAACTAAAACCAAAAACAATTTATCATTCAGCTAATATCAGAATTGAAAAAATATATTCCAGATGCTCGAAAATGTACGATGGCAGATAATTATAAGCAAAATTAATTATTAATCTGTATAATAAATAAAATAATATATTTTTATTTCAATATATTGCATTTATTTTCAATTGTAGATGTTCCATTTTAGCGATTTAATTATAATGTAAAAAAGAATATATAGAATTATTTATTATTAATTAAAAACAATATTACAAAAACAAATGAAAAAAAAAAGTTTTTGTTCGTCTAGCTTCAACTCAAAAATTATAATAGCTAAAAATTTGTTAAAATTCCGAGAGATTATTACTATTATAAAAATAAAATTTATAGAGTTTCAAATTTTGTGAACAATTACTTTGGTCGGAATAAAAAATTTATCTTACATAAAGCTTTACGTAAAGGAGTACAGTACGACGACATTAGATCGAAAACATCTTACATAAGATTTTTTTTGTCGTTATAATCGACAACAATTTTTAGTTTTTTACAATTATATTCTTTTTGCTTATATTTGACTCTACAATAAATTACAAAAAAATTCTTCGTTTTTCAATGAGAATTCCAACCGGTTTAAACGGAAAGTTCAACGTGGGTCGTATACGCACTGAACGTGTTAAATATACATAGTTCATAAGGAATATCATAGAAATTATTAAAAAAAAAGTCTTCGTTTTTGTTCTTATATATTTTTCGGGCGAACGCTCTTTTCCATTTGAGCTACAGAGGAATCATAATCCAACATTTACTACAAAGTTTCTTTTCTTGTCTAAACGAATGAAAGGAATTGATCTTCTTCCTTTCTTCAAAGGCAGCCGATGTATCACGAACCCACACACTTTTTATTGATCATATTTTGACATTATGTATCAACGACGACAACTTAGAAAGATGTCTTACAAGCGGTAAAATACTTGACACCAATGCCATGTAATTATGTAAATAACACACAACTCCAAGGACTGGTTTATGGCATGAGAGTACTAAGTTCTCGCTGTCGTGAAATTTAAAAAACTAGTATTAAAAATCGCTATTTGAAAGACTAGAAAATTAACAATAAAGGAGGGAAGAGACACTTATAACTAGGAAGCAATCTTCAAATTGTTAAGAAGACTGCATTAGTATAGAGAAGGAAGAATGAAAATGACATTGGAGAAAGTTAGAAGATAGTGTACTAGCATAAGAAGGAAAAAACAGTTGTTTTGTTTGTGCATAAAGAAATTATAATTTATAAGATTTTTTATACTAAATGAGAATCAAAAACAACTATTACAATCAGCTCAAAGTTTAGGTTTATCAAGACAGAAAAATCTGTAGTAGATATTGGACTATGTATTCCGCTGCCAGGATTCGAACCTGGATCCTTTCGCTTTCCGAATGAACACTCTACCATCTGAGCCACGAAGACCTATAACAAAATGAGTATATAAATACATTTATATGTGATACAATTTCCTAATATGTGTAGTAAATTCTATATAATTTACCGAAAGATGTTCTTATTAATATCATAACTTATCGTAATCATATATTTCATTTAATAAATGTGTTTATTTTAAACAAATAAATTTTTAATCGAAAATAAGTTAAATAATACAATGTTTAATTAGGCTATTTTATGAAATATCTTTTTTGCATACATCAAAAGATCATATACATGTTTTATAACAAAATTATATTTTTTTTTATATAAAAATGATCTTCTTTTACCGACAAAATTGTGAAATGTTGTTTTTATTTGCAAAAAGAAAAATCCAGAACGTTACCACAATGAAAACTTAAACAAAAAAAACTTAAATTCTAGATCTCATTTTTATATAAATATAAGCAAATATTGAAGACATCAAATTTTGTATTTACTCTAAACGTGTTCGGCAGACGAAAATGGAAATTATTAATTGTTACACGTATGGACTGACGTAGAAAGCAGCAATAATTAGAAAATTTGATTGACAAAAGTCTAGGCAGCTCTGATAAAATAAACAAATACTTAATAAATTATTAAAGTATTGATGCAAAAAAAAAATGTATAAAAGAATGTACGATCGAAAACGATCTCTTAATTGATATTTGAAGTGCGCGCTTTAGTCCTGTGGGGAGTTTCAAAAATCTAATGTTCACACCCCCACCATTCGTAACCCCACTACGTACGTCCTGCTGGGCCCATTAACAAAGAACACTCGTCCCATTCTTCCACTGGACGCCTATGACAACACATCATACACTTAGACGATTAAAAACAAACAAAGAAGCGACAAAGAACCGACAAAGAAAGCGAAGTTGTATCACCCTTCATAATACCACAAACCTGAGGAGAAGTAAAATAAGCGAAGTGTACAACCACTCTTCACGCTTCTATAAACAAGCGAGAGGTAAGAAATCATTTTTGTATCTAACGAGATTGGCTAATGAGCATAATAAATAAAAAATAATAAAATATTACACTTTCTATTAGTTCAACCACGTGTTTTAATTCTTATTTTAATTGAATCCTTTATCTTCCTCATCATCAGCTTATCACGATCACCAGAGGACTGATTCCATGTTGGAGAAATCTGCGTACAATACATTTTGGTGCCTTCGATGAGGTGTGAATTCCTGATTTCTGATCAAAAAAATCTGCGTGTAAACGATATTTCTATACCCTGAACATCCACACCGTCAGTTATCGCAAAAGAATCGGAATCGAAGATAAGTAGATTCAATTATTCGTGTGTACGCTTATGCGTACTCACCTTCAGCCCATAATAAATACTTTTTTGTGAAATTGCGCCTTCGAACCCCGTAGAAGTTCGTAATTTCTAATATATCTATTCATTTTTTTCATCTTTCATCGAAAATTATCATATCAATCTCTGTGGACAGACTTTTAGAATTTAATTTCTAAATTTAACCGAAATAATTCCGCTTTGTCTCCGGACAAAGGACGATAACATTTTCGGCGGTTCCGACGCTTATATTGTTAGTATCGATACATTCTTCAGAAACAATAGATTAGGCAACAAAGACGATCTGACGTCATAAGGGACGATAGATGCTACATCCCTCCACAGGTCTCCGTAAACGCGTAATCGAAAACCCAACGCATTACAAAGAAATTATATATCGAGATCTTTGTGTTCGTCGTAAATTAAATTAACTTATTTTCAAAGAATAGAATAATTAGCGCCGTCACGAAATGAAACCGAAACAACAGCTCGGATTAAAACGAAGAATTTTAAAGATGCGATTAACGTGTTTAGAAAAGGTAATTGAGGCAAGAAAATTAAGTACGGAAAATTTAATAGATCGTTACGAACTACTTACTAAACGATTAGACGAATACAAACTGTTGTATGCAGATGGGGACTTAGATGAGGAGGAGTTCAACGAATTAAAACAGATTTTAAACAGGTATTACGCAATCGGACTAATAATCGACGCGAAAAAAACGCCCGCGGTCAACACCACGAACGAAACCAATGTCAACACAAATACGACCAATAACGTTCAACCGTTAAGTAAAAAACAAAGTATCGAAATTCCGAAATTCGACGGAGATTTTGATAAGTGGCTCTCATTTAAAGATTCTTTTTTAACCTACATAGACGCGCGTACCGATTTATCCGATTTAGGAAAACTTCTATATCTTCGAGATTCCCTTGTCGGCATACCGCTTATATCAATCCAGTCATATCCACTAACCGGGGAGTATTATAAGACCTCGTGGACAACTTTATTAAAACAATTTGACGCGCAATGCATACATTTAGGACGAGCACTCGACGCACTAATAGACATTCCACGACTAGAAACCACGTCAATAGAAGATATAACGCAATTTGTAGACAATCTGCGCGCTAAAGTAAAAACCATTAATTCCTTTAACAAACCATATGCCTTGCAAGTCCGTCTTGTCGAACGCGCTTTACCCTATGCCATTCAACAAGAATGGTTCAAACACGTAGATTTGTACGATTATCCAACAATCGAGAAACTTTATGATTTCTTAACCGAATTTAAGTACCGTAGCAGCGTGTTTCCGGATGATCATCTTTTATCGTCCATGAGAACCAAATGCAACACGAAACGTAAACATCCCAATAGGAAATCACCGCGAAAACGACAGAACACATACAATGCGCGTACGTTTTGTACTT